TTATATGTGTTCATGAAGAGTTGTGCTAGCTGGGGCCAAGACGAGATGGAGTGCGGTGCACGAGTTTGTAACCACTCTCGGGCTGCTCCTTGTAAAGAGTGCTTGAACTGGCAGAGTTGCAGTGCTTCAGGAGATACGCCGTTCATCTTATGCGAATCACACGTTTCGAGAAAATTGACCAAGTGGAGACGCGGATCTTCATGAGCTAATCCGCTGAAAACCCATTGTTTTGGAGCATAGTAAGGAGTCCCGCTCGAATTTCGAAATTGTTGGCTTCAATGGGGGCTGCTGGATGCTTGATTGAAACCCATTGAGTGTTGGAACGGTATACTCATGCAATGCTCGTTGACGAGGTGGTGGATTAATCAGCTGAAGTTGCTCTTGCTCGTTGACGATATTTCTTGCCACATTCGGTAGGCGCTCTTGGTCATCTCCCCTACGGTTAAGCTCCTCTTCCATTGCTGCGGGAACGTTTTGAGCTAACCGTTGATTTCTCCTGGCGTGCCTAAACGTTCGCTCAATTTCGGGATCAAGAGGTAGCAAGTTCGTGTCGTGTCCTCTTCGCATAAAAAGTACCTAAAACAAAAATAATAAAAATAAAATAAGCAAACAAAATAATTAAATAAAATAAATAAAACGGCTGAAGTAAGAAAAATTGCTCAAATTTAATATTAAGATAAATAGATAATTTAGCCGTATTCCCCGGCAACGGCGCCAAAAACTTGTTGGGGCTAAATACCTAACACGCAAGTGCACGTATCGCAAACAAGTAGTAAAAGTGGACTCGTGAGAGTCGGATGTCGATCTCACAGGGAATACTCAAATTATCTAATCCTAAGTACCAAATTCTAACAATTATGATTTTTATCCAGCCTACGCAAAGTTGTCAAATAAAATCAATTAAACAATTAAACTAATTAAGAACGCAAATAATCACGAGAAAATATCAATTAAAAACGAACCTAGTATTTCATCTTCCCCCTATGCAAGAATTGCTCACCCAAAACCCCTCAATTATGAAATATATGATTCCTGATTATTAACCCGAGACACTAATTTACTCATAACCCGCTGTCGCGTGTATTATGAGTCTATTATTCATAAACGGTTCACCATATGTCTATGCAAACCAATTATGAATAAATCATTAACTAACAAGTCACGTAAATGGCTACCTAAGGTGATATCTATATGTCTACGACACCACATGCAATTGTCACACTCATCCGGTGAAAACTACTCGAAGGTTCTTATACTTACCGTCTAATTATCAAAATAGCTTTGTCGAGTCAATCCCAATAATCATAGATAAAGCACATAAATTGATCAAGTTCATGCACTAACAATCATAACAAGTAGAAGAAATAATCATAAAACCATAATTGCATAATCTCAAGAAAACGGGTTCACCGTCCCCACATAGGGTTCCAATAAAATCCTAGATTTAAAAACTTAGCTACTCATGTTCTCTACTAAAAACATAATAAAAATATAAAAAGACATAGATTAAGAAAAGATAGATAAAGGAAGAATTGTGATGAAGATTTGTCAATTCTCCGTCTTCGATTCTTCGTTCTCTCGCTCCTCTCGCTCCAAGGTTGTGTTCAAAAGTTCTTTAATTCGTGCTTGGTTTGCCTTTAAATAGATGTCCCAACTTGGTAGATGATTTTAGGTTTCCTTGTGCGATTAAAAGTTCAAAATTGTCTCCAGCGTGTTTTGGCGCGGCCGCGCGAAAATCAGTGTAATTCTCACACGGCCGCGCGAGAATCGCCGAAACCTTCTGCCCATCTTCTGCAATTGGCGCGGCCGCGCCAAAAATAGGCTAAATTTGGCACGGCCGCGCGGGCAAATTTTCAGCCAATTTTGTTTTCTTCCGTTTTTGCCCGTTTTTGACCTTTTTTGGCTCGTTTCGTCCTTAGAACTTCCAAATCGTCAAGTTGTACCTAAAATACAATAAACCACTCATTAAGCATTATTAAATCAATAAAAGTATACAAAAATCCTCGTAAGAAAGTATACATTGAGTGTAAAATATACGCTCAACACCGTACATACAAACCTTATGAAATTTTCACACAACGTTCACATATATGTTAATTATACCATATTAAAATAGTTCACTAAAATACCTATCCACCGGAGAAATAATTAATTCAGTACACACTAACACCAGCAGAATTTCATAACAGAGCATTCAACTTTAAAAATACCAAATAAATCATTCTTTCAACCAAACACCATGAAATTTCGCTGTAAATCCGATTTATAAGTCTTTAATCATATCCAGTTATAATCGCATGAATCGGGCTAAGATAAAATTTAATTTAACACATAATTCATAGATGACTCAGAAATCGTGCAGTTTCAGACAACGGTTCATAACTTGATCAATAAAATTCCGATTTACGCATACCATATATCAAAACGAAGCTAGCAGAAACATCTACATACACAATATTATGCAATATTTAAAACAATATAGGGTCCTAATAACAATTAAAGAACACTTGGGGGAGTAAGTCATACATCCACATTCACACAATACCATACCAACTCACCTAACACACACAAAACTCATTCATGTATATCTACATTCATTAAACCAAATCGTAAAAAAATTAAAGATACATTGAATAGATTAATTATCATATCATAATTCTTATGAGATCATTTAAATTATAATTAAGTATGTACATGAGAGACAATTAAATATAACCAAAATTTTATAATATCATTATTATCAAAGATTAATTATTAATTTAGAGCATATAATTCATTTAATCACGTACATAATAAATAAAATTACTTAAATCGTCTAATCAAATCAAGTCGATCGTACATTGCTCTAATATAGACATAACATAAAATATCATAATACATATAATTCACATAATCATTCAGGGTACGTAAAAGGTACTAATTAATTCATGAAATAAAAATTACGGATTTACTCAATATAATGTCATATAATATGCTTATGAAATTACGGATTTGTGACCGATATGTATATGACAGATGTGTGACGGGCAGGATATTGTGACGGATTTGTGACCTACATTGATCAAATTTTTACATTCATAGAAAGTGTGTGACTAATTTGTGACTGAATAAATTTTCGTCAAAACATTTGTGACCGACATGTGACTGAGTTTCGACTGTCACAACATCCGTCACAACGTTGTCACATATTGGTCATAAAAAGTTTCTAAATCTTAGTAGTACATTCCATCACATATTTGTCACTCATTCGGTCACTAATGGTGACGGATTTAAGCCGTCACAAAATATCCGTCACAAAAGCCCTGTTTTTTGGTAGTGTCAATAACAATTTTTCCTCCTATAAATAGACCTCTACTTGCATCAAATAAGTATCACCATTAAATTTCCAAACCAAACTCTCTCTCTCTCTCTCTCTCTCTCTCTCTCTCTCTCTCTCTCTCTCTCTCTCTCTCTCTCAAATACAAATACTTATTTTTTTTCTTTTTTTCATTTTCAAGTAAACTATGTTGCTGAGTTCGAGACCATTTTTCTGCCAACAAATTAAGGAACTTAACAACTTTTCTTGTGAGAAATCTCCGGTTCGATTCTTAGTTAATCTCGAAAAGAAAAACAACATAGGTAGAACAAGATTTCGCCAAATTAATATTAAGACAAAGGCAGCTAATATTAACAATGACCACATAGCCTTCTCCAAAAAAATGGAAGTTCCACAAGGAATCGAATCTGGCAAGGGTATCGGAATACTTAAGTTTTTCGAAGGCAAAAACATTTTTGTCACCGGTGGAACTGGGCTTCTTGGAAAAGGTATGTATATATATATGTATGTATATATATATATATATATCGAAGTACGTATCTATTAATTGTGGTATGTTCGAAAGTAACATTAAATAAGATTTTGTACGTAGTTCTTGTGGAGAAGATCTTAAGGTCGACACCGATCGGTAAAATCTACGTACTAGTGAAAGCGGACGATCAAGATTCAGCCGTTGATAGAATAACAAAAGAAGTATGTTTTTAATTAACATTGCATCTTCAACTTTGGTTGATAACTTAATATAAATAGTAACACGAATCTTTTTTTTTTTTTTTTTTTTTTTTGTTAATTTATTAGCTTATAAACTCCGATTTATTTCGATGTTTGAAAGAAAAACATGGACAATATTACCAAGCGTATATAAGGGATACTCTAATACCAATTGTTGGAAATATTTGTGAGCCGAACCTCGGAATGGACTCTGATTCCACTCATGCAATTATGGAAGATGTTAATGTGATTATAGAATCCGCCGCCATTACAACCTTAAACGAAAGGTTATTACTTTAATTATCTCTCTTTTCACTTAATTAATTTCCATCAAAATTAAATCAAGTTAATTGGTCGAAACTTAGTTTCTTCTTTCGATTGAAATATTATAATTTCACGAAGGTACGATGTGATGCTTGGAGCCAATGTCAATAGCCCCCAAGAATTGATGCGTTTTGCTAAGACGTGCAAGAACCTTGAGCTTTGTCCATATTTCAACCGGTAATTTATTATTAATTAAGTGGGAAAATTACAGTTTTCATCCCTCAAGTTTGTACCAATTTCACACTTATTCCCTCATGTTCACAAAAAATACATTTGGTCCCTCATGTTTGAATAATTTAACACTTTTGGTCATTTCCGTCAATTTATCTTTAGCCCGTCAGTTACGGAAGTAACGAGCACACACTTGATTCCGTTGGTTTTAACGGAGAATTGACAGACATGATAAAAGTGTTGTTTTTTTGAAAATGAGGGACCAAATGTGTTTCTTCTGAACATGGGGGACCAAATGTGAAATTAGTGCAAACTTGAGGGATGAAAACTGTATATTTCCCTTAATTAAGTAGTAAAAAAGACTTAGGGAATTAAATATTTTTGATTAATGTCTAATTAGTACGTATAACGTTATGTATGCACGAATAATCGAAATGGTACTATATATAAACATATAGCATATGTCAGTGGAGAAAGAGAAGGGATAATCTTGGAAAAACCATTGATTATGGGGGAGAATAGAAGAAAGGACGACACATGCAATACGTCTCGATTTCCTCTTCTCGATATAACCGACGAAGTAAATCTTTCGGCGTCGAGAAAACAAAAGGCTTCTTCAAACTATGATTTGACTAGGGATATGAAAATGCTTGGAATGGAGAGGTTAATTTATGCCTTTCCTCTCTCTCTTTTTTTTTTTTTTTTTTTTCTTTTCCTTCGAGTCATAATTTAACTCGTCGTTTAATTTAGGAACTATCATCGACACTTTACGGGCAAACTTACGTATACCAAAAAAATGAGCACATAAGCATGATAAATTTATAACCTAATTTTTTTTTCCGAACAGAGCAAATTTTTATGGATGGTATAATACGTATCAATTGACAAAGGCGATGGCGGAAATGGTAATTAATGAAACGAGAGGGGATATACCGGTCGTGATCATTAGGCCAACTGTCATCGAAAGTTGCTGTAAAGAACCTATCCCTGGCTGGATTCAGGGAAATAGGTGAAAAGAATATATCAATAATTATTTAAAAAAAAATGTTTAATTATTTCAAATTATCGTAAAAACGAATTAATTATGTTGGTTGTCGCGTTTGTAGGATGTTTGATCCGATAATTGTTTCATACGGAAACGGGCAGCTTCCAGCCTTTCTAGGCAAGCCTGATTCCCCAATGGATGTTGTAAGTTTACATAAACAATATATAATGTTATGAAAATATTATTCTAAATCTCTCTCTATATATATGACTTACCATTTTTTAAACAAGATATAATGTTATGAGGGATGAAAACTGTAATTTTCCGCTTCAAAATTATTTAATAGGATATTTCGAAAAATCCTATTTTAAGTACATGATTTCGTTTCTTCTGAATAATTATGGATAATTGTTCACTGTCTTTGACTAATATTTGTTACCAGATTCCGTTGGATATTGTCGTAAATGGAACAATTGCAGCAATAGCAAAGCACGGTTATATGCAAAAGGCGGAGTTGAATGTGTACCAGATTGCATCTAGCGTCACGAACCCTTTACACTACTCTGAATTTTTCGAGTATCTTTACGAATATTTCCGTTCGGAACCTTTGGTAGAATCCGAAAATTTAATTAGGGTGAACAACTATGATGATATCGAAAAAATTAAATATTTCGATAATTTCAATGATTTCTCGAAATATACACGAGAAGAAATATCTCGACGTGTTGGAGGAGGAAATGCAGTAGCAACTAAGAAGGCGCAAACGCAATGCAGAGCAAAGATCATGTATGCCGAGCACTTGTGCAAGATGTATGAATTAAGTGTTGAACTTATGTTTTATATTTTTGAAATTCCTCTAATTACTTTAACCTAATTAATAATCCGTTGATCGAACAATTTAACCCTTCTGGCCATTAATACATGAACATATCCACTCAACAAAACATCGAGAGCTTAGACAAAGATCAACTTAAATTGAGAGATTAGAAAGAGAACTTAGACTGATGACTTAGGTAGTATTTGCAGAAACTTAAAAAAAATAGAAGTTGGTGGTTATGACCATAAGTATCGTTAATAATAAGTACTTCTTTCTCAAAGTTTTGGGTGTTTGCACACTCCATGCAAAATCAACTTTAGTCAATTTATTTTACGAGAAGTTGCTCCAGTGCTTTTCATAGTTCAGTCTCATGCAACTTATTTTAAGAAAAGTAGAAACAAAAGTTAGTATTACAAACACTTCTAAAGCGATTCTGAGCCACACAAAACTCAGAATCACTTTTGAATTTTTTTTTTTTGCAAACGTCACCTAATTAACAATAGATGAACACACGCACTCAACAACAAATAGAAAGATGACTAGCTAAGCAATACATGAATACACTCGAACATAAAATTTACGTAGAGAGAGCTTAACACTACATTAATAATTGTACTTCACAACACATAGATAGCTAGCTAAGAAAGACGAAATCGAACATGAAAATGCACATCACACAAAAGAGCTTAATTAATATGTTCAATCAAAATAATCATTTAACTATATTTTTCCTTTTCCTTTCGTGTTTTTTTTCCTTCCCGAGATAGATTCCATGCCGGCAATACTCAGAAGTTGTTGTACGAAATGTCGAAGGAAGAGCAGATTAACTTTGACCTGGATGTAACAAAAATAGAGTGGAGAAAGTATTTTCAAGAAGTTCACATCCCTGGTTTGAGAAAGCATGTGCTTAACGAGAGAAGTATATATGTCTAGTTACGCAATTATTTATCTCGACCACATGCTCTCTTTTTTGATTATTTGTATTTTAGGTACAAATTGAAGAATTGGAAACTTATGGGGTAAAAATGCAATTTTGGAAAAAAAAGTGGGCCAATAGTAAAAAAATCAAAACTTCGAAGAATTGAACACCGCACGGCCGTCCGAATTTCAGCGTGAATTCTCGCACGAGCGTCCGAGTTCACGAAGTGGCGCAGTGAAGGATGTTTAATTACACAAGGAAACCACCCTCTTATATTTTTACACCCTATAAAAGGCCAAACATCACACAATTAAGGCATCGATCTTTTTACACACAATCTAGGAGCAAGAGAACAGAGCAACGAAGACGAAGACTTGACGATTCTTCATCATAGTTCTTCCTTTACTTTTATTTATAATTTTTATGATTTTTCGTATTTTTATTATGCTTTTCGTAGAGAACGTGAGTAGCTAAGTTTTTATTCTAGGATTTTGTTGTAACCCTATGTGGTGATTCGAACCTATTTTTCTAATATTATGCAAGTTTAAATTTTTTGATTATTTCTTTTATTTGATCTTATTTAGCGCATGAACGTGGCTAATTTATGTTGCTATATGTTATTGTTAGAATTGATTGACAGATCGTTTTAATAATTAGAACAAGGATAGAAGAGCCTTCGAGTAGTTTTCACCGGATGAGTGTGTTAATTGCATGTATTATCGTAGACATATAGATAATACCTTAGGTAGCCGTTTTCGAGACTTGTTGTTTAATGCTTTATTCATACTAGGTTTGCATAGACATATAGTGAATCGTTTATGAATAATAGACTTATAATACACGCGACAACGGATTATGAGTAATTTCGTGTCTTGGGTTAATAATCGGGAATCGTAACTTGCATGACAGAGGTTTAATTGGGTGATGAATTATCGCATAGGGGGAAGATAAAATCCTAGATTCGTTCTTATATTGATTCTTCCTCGTATTTATTTGCTTTCATATTTAGTTTAATTGTTTTATTGATTTATTTGACAACTTTGCGTAGGCTGGATAAAAATCATAATTGTTAGACTTTGGTACTTAGGATTAGATAATTTGAGTATTCCCTGTGGGATTGACATCCGACTCTCACGAGTCCACTCTTACTACTTGTTTTCGATACGTGCACTTGCGTGTTAGGTATTTAGCACCCAAAAAGTTTTTTGGCGCCGTTGCCGGGGAATACGGCTGTAGCACCCCCCTCGGGTCGGGCGATAAATCGAACCGATTTATCGGAAAACTTTAGATAGCGGAAGCAAAAAGGGATCTCTTTGTAATTTTAAAACTTTCGAGTAGGACCAAAATGTAATTTCTAAAAAATATCTTTTTGGGTCATTTGAAAACCTTGGGAAACCTTAAGAATTTCGAAAACTCCTTAGGGTCATTTTGGTCGTTTAAATTTTTCGTTTCAAAATAACTTTGGAAAGGGAGATTATTATTCGAGTGCTACATTTATCTAACTATAGGTTTCATCTTTTGGTTCGAAAAGAAATCAGAGTTTAAAGCTATTTGGTGAATAGGGATTTTCGGGTAAGAAATGCAATTATCAAAATAAGCGGACCAACTATATTAATATCAAGATAAGGCCCGTAAATGGGTAAGAGTTTAATTCCCCTAACGACGAAATATTAGAGTTTAAAGAAAACGGAAATACGGAAATTATCTATAGTTTACATCACCAAAATAAAATAAACATAGTTTATAGACCCCTCGTACGACCCTCCAAAAACCTCCGGCCAAGACTCCGATCCACTACTCGGTCCATTCCGATGCGGGATTCCTACTACTACCTGCAATCAAAGAAGTATCGATATGAGCTATTAAGCCCAGTAAGAAATCCGAATGGATAACGAGGTTTTAAAATATGGTTTTACGTATTTATATTAGTATATACACATAAGCATCAAATCTTACCATTCGTCGGCAAACAAACACACACACAAACACTCAATCTCATTTAAGCACGTAAATCGACTCGAATACTGAAAATTACCAATTTACCCTTTTCGTGCAAATGCATGAATGAAAACATTTTCTGTTGTTCGGATCCGTGAAAAATTAAATTCTTTACTTGGATGATAAGCATATTATTCTGAGCCCGTTCTTTTGGTGGAATCAAACCACCCCTTTATCTATAGTAACTATGGTTGGGATACCGGCCCCCCGTATCCCGACTTATCCAACCCAAGCATTCCATTAACCTTTCCTTTCGTAAAAATGAAATATCTTTTTATGCAAGACCATGAGACGAATGAGACTCTAAACAAAAACGACGCTTTACGACATCACAAATATCAATCAACGAGCACACCAATCAAAATCCAATTATCCACATAGTATACACACGGCAATCACACACCATAGCATACACACACATACATATATAACCACATAAGCATAGCACATAATTCACATAATTATTATAACATCATATTATATAATTATATATCATAATTTCACACACAACAGCACACACACACGGCACACACATATACACACAACATGCAGCCCCAAAACATACTTTAATTAGCATTAAATTAGCAAACCATGCCCTTAAAGCACCAACATTTCTATCTTTTCATTTATGGGATTTCTCCCACTTTTCTTCATTAAATGAATTAAAATTCTTACAGCCCCTTAACATAGTTCAGATGCAGATTTTTAACCATCAATTCACATTCTCACAATTAATACTCAAGACATAATGATTAAAACATAAAAGTTCCATTTATGACACATGCACAAGCAATATTTCGAAATAATAGCAAATAGCATCTAAAAATTCTCAAATTTAATTATATGCTACCTAACTGACTAAATGAACAGATGCAGAAAGAATTTTGCAGTTTCCTCAAAAATCGGATTTATAAAAATTAAATTACTCGGCAAGTAGTGTTGAAGCCAAAAATGATTTTTCCAACAAATTTTAATCCAAAACTAAGGCCAAAAGCAAATAATCAAATTACACTTACTCCTACTGAGATTTTAAAGATGAAAACATGTTTCATGCTGAAATTTCAAGAAATTGCAGATTAGTCCTAAAGATTCATAGATTTACACATGCAACCCCAAAAATCTTGAAAACTCATTTTCTTTTTCCAAAATTCCCAAAAATTCGAAATATTAAACCCTTAAACACAAAATGCTTAGATTCAAAGATGATAACATGGATTAGACATGCAAGAACACAAATAACAAGATTAGCACAAGATTTCGGATTTTACACAAAAAGCCCTAATTTTTCGAAAAGTGAAGAAATATTTTAGGTAATTTCAAAAATTCTTTTTCATACTATGATACCCTTCGATTGCAGCAAGAAATTCGAGATTTCTTACCTATTAAAGAGTGTTGGCCGAAGAAAGAAAAAACCTTCAAAAGAAAAGAGGGTTTTTAGAGAGAGAAAGGAGGATGAAGAAAATGAAGAACACAAGGATACATGTTACCTCCTTCAAGAAGTGGCTCCAAGATTGAACCAAGCTAGTTGAATGGAGAAGGTAAGAGCTTTGATATCAAGTTGGGAGGAGTTTAAATCTCCCGTAAGAGGGCAAGTGTTTTTTATGGTGTTCTTGGCATATTCAAGGGTGAAGCTTATATAGGGGATTTGCATTTTGATTTCTCTATTTTTTTCTTGAGGAATTTTGAGGTGTTGGCCGATGGGGGAGGTGGTGCTACGGTGGTGATGGTGAGGAGAAGACAAGTGGGGGTGTAGGTGTAAGAAGATGAAGATAGATGGGTGTCTCTTGGGATGACTTAGCATGCTTGAGTGTAGGATTAGTGTAAATCCTCACTCTTTGCCAAGTGGACAAGCATGCATCTTTTTCTTAATTTTATTTACTAATTAATAAATTCACTTATTCACTCACATACACACATATCCGAAAACACACACACATATATTTAAATACACATACCTATAGTCTAGAGTAACATAGCTTATATAGCATATGAATGTATGCATACATGTACGTATATATGCATGTATTATGCATGTTATTATGATTAAACCATGAAATCACATAAACAATTTAATTATACACATAAATCACATAATTTAATTTAGCACACAATTATAAATACTTAATCCACTTAAGCACATAATTACCGAAATAAAGTTGGCACATAATTATTCAATAAATTCCTAGCACATAAGGCACATAATTATCTAATCGGCATATAAGGATTATTAGTATAGGCAATATAAGGCACTTAAGGAATTTAAGTTAGTGAAATTCCTAATGATTTGTACGTGAGAATTTTCCGGGTTATGGAAATTTGGTTAGGGATTAGGGTTTTTCGAAAATGTGGGGTGTTACAACGGCTAAATTATTTATTTATCCTAATATTAAATTTGAGCAATTTTTCTTACTTCAGCCGTTTATTTATTTTATTTAATTATTTTATTTGCTTAGTTTATTTTAGGTACTTTTTATGCTAAGAGGACACGACACGAGCTTGCTACCTCTCGATCCCGAAATTGAGCGAACGTTTAGGCAAGCCAGGACAAATCAACGGTTAGCTGAAAACGCTCCCGCAACAATGGAAGAAGAGATTAATCGCGGGGGAGATAACAAAGGGCGCATACCGAATGCGGCGAGAGAAGTCGCCAACGAGCAAGAGCAACGCCAGCTAATTAATCCACCACCTCGTCAACGAGCATTGCATGAGTACACCGTTCCAACGCTCAATGGGTTTCAATCAAGCATCCAGCAGCCCCCCATTGAAGCCAACAATTTCGAAATTCGAGCGGGACTCCTCACTATGCTCCAGCACAATGGGTTATTCAGCGGATTGGCTCATGAAGATCCACACCTCCACTTGGTCAACTTTCTCGAAACGTGTGATTCGCACAAGATGAATGGAGTAACACCCGAAGCACTGCAACTCCGCCTGTTCAAGCACTCCTTACAAGGAGCAGCCCGAGAATGGGTACAAACTCGCGCACCGCACTCCATCTCGTCTTGGTCCCAGCTAG